GTGTGTGTGTGTGTGTGTGTGTGTGTGTGTGTGTGTGTGTGTGTGTGTGTGTGTGTGTGTGTGTGTGTGTGTGTGTGTGTGTGTGTGTGTGTGTGTGTGTGTGTGTATGTGTGAATAAGTGCAAAGGTGCAGATCGAATTATGTGTGTGTATGTAAAGATGTAGACTGTGGGTAATTTTGTGAGTGTGTGCAATATGTAAATAAAAATCGAGGCCTCTGTACTTCCAAATCGCAGCCTCTCCATAATCTTGGTTACGCGTCCGTAGTAATTATGTAAACATGTGTGTCTGTGTATGTACATGTGCGTCTATGTATTCGTATCAATAGTCACGTGCTTGCGTATATATGTGTATATACATCGAGGATGCAAGTAGAGACCTACCGGGTTTAGTAGATGACTCTTCTTACAACTATATAGGCGCTGATACCTAGTTTGGTGATTTGGCTGTACCGCTGTCAATTTTATAGTGCATCGTGAGTTTAGTGGTGAAATACAGGTGCCTCATAGTTTGCGTGAACTTGCATCAATTGATGTCTGCCAAATGAGTCTTATGGATATATAGCTATTACTCTCGTAGCTTAGTCTGTATTGGAAGTTGTACTTCGGAGTTAGTAGCCGACGCCAAATACAAATATGGTGTGGGTGGGGTTTAGCGTAGAATATACATTAAATATCAAGTTGTCAATTTCGGTGTGATTATATGTACATATTTACACTTGTTTGCGCCGCAAACCCTGACTTTTGAAACCAATATACAAGCATTCTATTATAAACCTGACGTTCACTTTACCCATGTCATTTTTTATGCCGCCGCCAAGATCAGTATTCATGACGCTCCGCATGAGTGCTAAACACCATAAAACATCCGCACGATACTATTGTTGACAGTTGTAGTTAATATGTACCAGTTTATATTAATCATAAAGATAGCTATGCATTTCATCTTTTCTGTCCTAGCCCACCCAAGTTTTGTGTGCGTGTGGCTTGCTATTAACCTCATACGCCTGTAGTATATCATCCAAATGTCAAGCTCTGTGGTGTATGAAAATTGCCGTGTGGAGTTCCTGATATCTCGTGCGGTCGTGCGCAAATGAACTGACACCTGTGCGAACCACACACGGGCGTGTAGTTGTGACTGTTTTGTGTGTATATGTGAGTATTGTATGAGAGATGTGGTCGTGAACACATGTTGATAGAGACCATGGACGTCTTGTCTGCAAACTGAGACGTCACGCTTCATTTTCTATAACTCAACGCCTATGTAAAAGGACAAATTGATAAAAGTAAATGCACCTTCAGCACTCGTATCCAGGGCAAATGTGCATGAGGTTAATGCCGTATGCACGGGTGTCCTCGCGAGCGCCAGCATGTTCTCCCTTATAGCTGATCATATTATTTGTCGCCTCGAAAATTGCTTCTCCGAACGGTATACATCATAAGTGGTGTGGAGTGCTTTTTTTAGTATACACCTCCGCTTAATGTTCGTGTGTGACACTCCTGCTGTCGGTGGGTATCTCTTATAACTATTTTAACCATTGTTTTACCCCATCGCCTCTCCCAGCCGGAACCTCTATATGCGGAGTGACCGCTATCAGTGCTGTGAGTCCGGCAATCAAGGCCAGCCCGCAGGAAACTTCTGTAGCTGTCGCCAATGTAGTGGCGTTCGGTACCCTGGGCATGCTTACCTACCCTTACCTCGCGCACGCAATATTTAGCTCAAGTCAGAGCATCGGAGTGTTCCTTGGCTTAGCAGTGCACGACACATCTCAGGTACTAGGCAGTGCTCTAACGTACAGTACCTTGTACGGTGCGGAGGATGTGCTGAAAATCGCTGCGGTGACTAAGCTCACGCGCAACGTGTGCCTGGCGGGTGTTGTGCCCTACATGAGTTATAAGCATGCGGAGAAGGCGATCGCTGGCGACATTGGTACGGTTGCAGTAAAACCGACTGCCATAGAATTGGTGTACAAGTACACGCCCGGGTTTGTGGCAGGATTCATCGCCATGGCTTGCATGCGGTCCACTGGCGACTATAGCCTGGATACGTATGGTGCTGCTTTTGGGTGTCTCTCCCCCGATCAGTGGAAGCAAACTACCACAATGATAGGTAGTACACTATCGCAGCCATTGCTCACCACGGCAATGGCTGGCGTGGGCCTGACTACTAGTTTGTCCGCCTTGAAGGGGGTAGGGTATAAACCATTCGCAGTGGGCTTCACGGGTGCCACAACGGTGGGACTTGTGGGTTTGACCAGTGCGCTAGTACTCGGCGTGATCTAAGCGGTGCAATTTACACAACTGGTAGGCTGCACTCGCTTATAAACCTAACTATCAGCTCTGCCGCTGATCTTGCCCGTGTCCATGATTAAGTCCGTGTATAGAATATTATGTGCTTATTCGGCAGCAAACATCGTAAAATACACTAAGAACTGGATCCAGCGCAATTATGGTGCTCTGGTACTTGGCTTGAATCAATTAGAGCTCATAAGCCATTTATGGGGCTGCATCAACGGTATTGTACGGAGGTTCTGAATTTAGTTGACATATTTATTGTTCACCAATAGAGTTTTCCGTATAATATAAAGTGTTATAGTTTTCATATTTAGCGAATATCGGGGCGGTATTTGACATGCGAAATAATGTTTATATGTAGTGGATAAGCCCTGTCGTATCGTATGCAAAGGTGTTGTCAAATGGCATAGGTCCTTCAGCTGTATCTAGGTGGCGCTCGTCACATACTTAAGAGTTATGCACGTGCATACTGAATTTTCCTGACATTATTTTTGTTCTAATCCATATTTGAAACGCTTAGTACGATTCGGTACCGAACATCTTGGCATAGTTTGACGTGGATGAATACACAATGTTGGAATAAAACAATAGTTCGCAGCGGGAAATAGTTGGTGATCATACGGCAACTAAGTGACTATAATCCCGACAATGTATGAGCGTTCTATTATTTACTGTTCACGTCTATTGAAAAGGCCGTCTAATGTATTACGATTTGGCTTGATATTTACATGGAGAAAATTTGATTCCCAGAGTGCACCAAAAACAAAACAAAACTAAACAAGAATATGTATATCAATACATAAGAGTATAACGAAAAATATAGTTGAAGTGGATTAGTTCAATGGCAGAACATTGCTTTGTGGAATCGTGTCAACGAATCAGCAAAAATGGGAGTTCGATTCTCCCATCTACGAATTTTTTTCTATCTCAGCCTCGTGAATATAATTGTCATAATATACTATATTCGTGTACAAATACATCCCCAATATTGGTGAGACTACATGTTCTAAGGGGAGATGGGAGATACCCGTCGATTTTTAGTGAATGGCTAGTCAGTGTAGCGCTTGGGACACACAGACCCAGCTCAACCTAAAGGAATATGCTGACAACACTGGAATGTGAAAGCAGAAATTTCCTTTTCCTTTGGTGCACACGTCACATGACTTTTCGGTGCGATTCTCGCCGGGTGCAATAGGTATACGTACTTAATATCTGTGTTATTCTCGATCGTCAGAAGAGCCGCTCGAGTATGAGACGTAAAACGCAAGCCCAGTCTCAGGGAAACTATTTACCACGCTGAGATGTTAAAGGGTCTTTTTCTTGGTGCACACGCCACGCAGCTTTCCTTTGTGATGTCCACAAGGGTGATAACTAAGATCGCCTAAATCGTCAGAATAGCTGCCCGTGTACGAGATAAATACACCGAACCCATCATTAAAAAAAATGGCAGGGCGTACTGTGGCATCGTGGTATATACTTTTTCTTCTTGTTTTTGGGAGGTACGTAATGTTCAATTGTCTCTTGTGTTATCTACTGAATAGCGGTTGAGAAGAGCACTTATAAACTAGTCAGCTACGGCCTGTTTGTAAATGAAAAGTGTCATTCGCGCTTGTTAAACTGCATATATCGAGCTCGGCCTGAGGGAACTGGCAGATCATATTGAGGTGTGAATCATACCTGGGGTTTTTTTCCATTGAGGTGTGAAAGCATCCTTTTTTTTTCGCGATGCTCACTAAAAGCCTGTTAGTGCGCCCACATGAAAACTTCGTTTTGTCTTAATAATGTAAATACAACTCGCGCTCATTTTTTATACATGTAGCTTAATTGTAAGGAATTGGCTGCTTTTACTGAGGTGCGAAAATCTATACTTTAGGGTAGGCTAGGGTTGCACATACCAGCGTGATGTTTGCATGGGCGACAGGTTTGCGCGCTTGATTAATCCTTTCGTCTTGATCGTCATAATTGTCGCGCTTGCTGACTATTTCACGGATGTCAATATGAGGCAATATAGAATGTGCTGGGGTGCGACATGCAATATTTTGTCGTAATTCTCAACGAATGATATCATTTGATTGCGCTGACTGACTGTGTTCGGTTTTGTGAATGTCAAAAGTACTGCCACCGTGTACTACATACGTACACCGATGGCAGATTGTACTGGGATGTCAAATGCTACTCTATTTTTGTTCCGCACAACCTTCCGATGCGTACGATGACGGTAAATTTTCCTACTTGATATATTCGTACGTAAGATGAAATACCTTTCTGAGGAAATATACAGAGTAATCTGATGTGTAATGCATGCCTTTTTCTATTACATTTTTTAGTGGTGGCACACACCGTCCTGTCGTAATACTCGCCGCAGGCTAGTGGTTGGGTACACTAAACGACTGCGTTTGTTTTGATTATCGAAAGTATCTCGTGTATAATATGAAGCTCGTCAGGTGGATATTGGCCGAGTATACTGGGGTGTGAATAAGTTATATACAGCGCTTTAGAAGAGTCATATCACATTATCAGTCCTTAGCTCGCTTCAGTGCCTCTATTTCTCCTAGCAATTGTGTACTTGTCGACATGACGAATCGCCCTTACCACAGCATGTACTGAGTTTAAATGCTGGTTACGGTACTCAGTGGGTCGAGTGACGTTGCGATCGGCTGACTATTCATCGTGACCTCTTCATTGTGCTCTCCATTATTGAGTCGCGGACGCCGCTCGATTCAGTATGCAAAGTTGGCTAATCATGCTGACTGTTTAGTACTATGCGTATAGAAATATATATATGTAAGTCGCTGCTAAAGAATGAACTGATTTTAGCTTCAATCTTCGATAGTCTAAGAGATAAAGGGGAGATAGACTGAGATATTTGTCTTTATCACTCCACTCCTATCAATATTACTCCGGTCTATACTTATTTCAAATTTTAACAACTACGACTGATAAGATATCGGATTGTTACCACGCGTCACGATGTTGGCATGGTGGACTTGTTGGTGTTGGCTAGACATTTCTATATATGAATAAGTCGCTGTCAAAGAAAGCATTTTAGCTTCAATATTCGATAGTGTATAAGATAGAGGGAGGATAGACTGAGATATTTGTCGATATCATTCCACTCCTATTAATTATCACTTCGGTCTATATTTATTTCAGATTCTAACAACTACGATCGATATGATATCGATTTGTGACCACGCATCAGGATGTTGACATGATGGACTTGTTGGTGTTGGCTATTCATAATAAAATGTTAACCATGTTGCTTGAAGAGCCGAGGTGGA